AATCACCTTTTCCTGCCTTTACGTGGCTTAGATTCAACTCTACGTGGTTGTTTCCTCAATAACGTGCAGGTCTGTGAAGTTACCACCTTTCTCTCTCCAAACCTCTACGACTCCCTGCAGCTCGAGCACACCAGCTCTCCTATAACTCAAGCACCTGTAAAGCTACTGTACGCTACACAAGTCGGAGTAAATCAGTTGTATCCAATGTTTGAACCATAAATTGCTTCTCAGAAAGAAAAAACAATACAGAAGTCAACAGGGTCGGCTGCTTGGATTTGGTCTGAAAACATAATTATCAGCCGATTATCGGACTCAGTGTTCCACGTTTCTAATTATTGGCATCATCACTACTATTACTCTTTCTTATATATATATATATATATACACATACCAATTTCCAATAATCTAAATCAATTTAGTTTCAATGTGCTTCTTTTGCTGATGCCACCAGTTCAACATCACAAGTAATAAAACTACTAATACTCGAGGTAAGTCTTGAAAAGTTCTGTTTTAATTGAAGATACGTGAAACACAAGCAGGGTTTTGTGTTGGAAAGTGTGCCAAGATTTGCATTTTTATTGCAACTGTAGATCGGTTCGAATTCCATTATTGATTTGGGGGATTTTTCAAAGGAAAAAAGCTTAAAATTTCTACTTAAATGTGAATATTTAGTGGCTGCTTTTCCTCCTCTGTGACAGTAAACTGAATATCTTTGAATTGTGAACAAAGCAGGACACACGAGGACGTCATGTTGGGTCTTTTTAAGCAAACAAGTCGTCAATTAACTAAGAAGATAATCAGGAGATCAGATGAAAATGGAAGTCAGGACCCCTTTGTGTAAAATATAAACACTGGGTACCATTTAGCGCCATTTTCCAACACAAAAGGTCGTCCGATAGATCTAGAAAATCCCTTAAATGTCAAAAACAGACACCTTGAGTCCTTTGCGGGTGTCGTCACCGTTGATCCTACCGTTGGTTCATGTTTAAACCATGATCAGGTGGTTTAGCTGCCTAAACTCAAAACTAGACTGAAGCCACCAAGCAGAGCAAAGTAAAGCTGATAAAACCACCTCTTCTGTCCCTGAAAACTCTTCACGAGGGACTTTTAAAGGGGACAAAGTCCTCCGTGTCCATGGGCGTCGGATATTGACGGCGATGCCAAAGGACACCTTGTGAGCATCTCTGAGCTGAAGCGGCTCCAGCAGCGTCCGACACCGTGGCAACGAGAGCGGCCGGCGTGGCTGTTGCACCCGAGGTGATACAACAAATTATTTTTAGTGCCTGCCTTCGAGGACATTGCACCAATCAATCTGGCACCGGCGCCGCAGAAAAAGCAAATAAAACTGACAAGTCGAGTCAAAACAAACACAAAGTACAGCAACATGCAAAAATGGATCTGGGTTCAGCTTGAAGTTCGGGTTTTCATCTATATTTCAAGGATCCACTTTAAGACCGGGACACTAATGGGGATGAAGGGTGTTCAGACGAAAGGCTGCAGCTTGTTGTTTTTTTATTGACTCCAGACAGTTCTGGTCAATCTTTCACGCTATTTGTCTCCTCACTGTTAGCGGGCGGAAAAAAAAGCTCCGAAAACTGACAAAAACTCAAATAAAATGATCTATGGCAACTCAAGGGATGGATTTTCCTTCTTCTCTTGACATTGCTGAAGGGTTGTTTTCTTCCTACGGCTGCAGGACGCCAGAGCTTTAACTGGAGTCGAGCTTTCTGTTTTGGATTTCCTGCCCGGAGCCATTAGACATGTATGAAGACGTCCAAAAGTCAGACTTACTGACGTCAACGCAAAGCAGCCGAACATTTGCGTCACGGTATCGGCCTCATCCAGCATGTGGGAAGAGGAATGAATACGGTTCTGTCATGAGGTTGTGACTGACCAGACAGGAGCAGAAATCTAATCCAGGATCTGTGGTTCGACAGGAAGTTAGTGGATCACGAACCAACGCTGAAGTAACGACGGGGTCATTCCAACTCCAATCATCCAATATTTTAGAACAATTTTGGTTCAATCATCGTTTATTTTAGCAGAAAATGTTGATATTTATGAAGATATTTGTACAATGGTAGCTTCATACATCAAATATTTTCCACAGCTAAAGAAAACAGAATTAGTTTTGGTGGTCCAACTTGTCAGATCTGCTCAATCGGTTCTAAAATCCAAAAATCAACAACTTTTGTCATCAAATATGTGACACGTGGTTCAGAAAATGTCCCTAATTGACTCAACTTTTTGCTAATTTGAGCTCAAAGTGGAACTTTTCGAGACAACTTCAAGTTTTTTTTTCGTATTTCAACCACAATCAGAGTTTATTTGATCTGCTCGTCCAATATTACAGATTCTGAATCGATGTCACGATGAGAAAACAACATCTCAGGCTTGTATCTTGAAGAGATGTTGGCGTTCGAAAAAGGCCTCAAATTTCTATCTGCAAACTCCCTCCTCCACAAGAAGCTTTTCTTTACATATCAAGCTAGAATTTCACAAATGAAACTTTAACTATCCGTAGTTTATGATAAAGTTTCCGGAAAACCAGAGACGGTCGAGCAGACGATGATTTGAGACGGTGATTCATTTCTATGTTCTTAAGGAGTCAAACAGCAGAGAGTCAGACGTGACTTCAGGCTTCCGATATTCTCCCATCTGTCGAGAACATCGAGGAACCGAACGCGAGGACAAACAATCTGGGAGGCCACTCGTTAAGCCTCCAGGAACCACACCGAGGTGAGAAAAGGACCGCCTTCCTCCTTAAAAACCCACCAGGAGTGGAACAACCGTCTGGAGTTTCCTCTTCCTCTCACAACGCCGTCTGCTTTAAAGTTCACCCTTCCTATTCATCACTGATGCGCTCTTATTGACGTCGTTATCGATAATGCTACTCCGGGTTTGCAACTTATTACCCTTCAGCACCTTCGGACTCGCGCTATTGACGTGTTGAAGACTCGGCGGGCGCTCTGGAGCCTCCGATTGTTTTGTGGAGCTGCTTTACTTCATTCTGTCCACAGCAGAAGCTCGTTTTTTTTTTTTTTACAGGTGTGGTCTTCGTTCCTGTCAGATCTGAAACCAACCCGTCTGCACTGACGGCACAACGATAATCTAAAGTGTTGACGCAACCGGAAGTCACTAGACTGACCAAATATTATGGTCTCACCTCCAAGGAAGATAAAGAGAGTCTTGACTTCATGGTAAGCTGCTATCAATGAATGTCCTGATAACAGAACGGGAAGCTGTGGTTTATCTTCAGTCGGCCTTGTTCACTGATTTTGCGACCAAATATAAACACGTTTTCTCCCTAACCTTTATCTTAATTAGATTTTATTAACTGCAGCGCACGACGAAATATTAAGAAACAAAAAATGAATGGACGACAATTTAAGTTTTGGTTTGAAATTGGGGAAAAAATAGTTTTTTTTTTGGAAGAATTACCAAAAACCAACAAACCGACTGCATTTAAATGTGTTTTCTGGAGATGCACGATATATCGGCGACCAGATCGGTATCAGTCGGATGAACAAATTTAGCCAATGGTTGTCTAACGTTAGCGCCTTCGTCTCTACGGTTGATGTTGCTGCTATTTCACTGATGTTTCTACTTAAACTGACTTAAATATGTTAAAATATGTCGCAACAAAGACGACTATGTGGTCTAATTTGGGCTTCTGTTGAGTAGTTTTGTCACGGTGCTTGAACTTATTTTTCACTGTGAACAAATATTGAATATCGACATCGATTATCGGCAATATCAGAAATCCTAACATCGGATATCGGTATCGGCCAGAAATTCTAATATCGTGCATCACTCGTTTTTACACTTTTTGACTTCGACACCTAAAACATATTTATGTTTTTGTATATTATAAATTCATTCCTGATTATCTGACTGTGAAAAAAAATCTTTAAAAGTTTTGTTTCTTCTTCTTCTTCTTCTTCGGTGTAGTTTTGCGTCTGACTTCTTCTCCTCCATTTATCACAGCGCCACCTTCTGACGACTCCACACTGTCTAGATTATTCTCTTCTATTTCATTTCTTTCCTTAACATTTCAAAAAGTTCACTTTGGGAGCCACAGCTCGTTGGATTCGTCTCTTTCACAACTTTATATATTCTATAGAAGTGCAGCATTAAACTGCTGGAGCGTCACTTTAAAACAACGTCCTGCTTCCTCCTCCTCCTCCTCTGGATGCTCCTCTGCACCTGCATGAAACCGTGATCATAAACAAAAAAAAAACCTGCAACAGAAACATCGAGCCGTGCTGCTGCTGCTGTAAATCTGTTTTGTATATTTGATGTGCAAAACGAAGCGAGCCGTGACGTGAGAGCGGCGGCGGCGCTGTTTAACGGACGAGTCGCTGCTGCTGCAGCTTAGTGACTCAGCAAACCCTGCTTCCTCCTGCGTGCCCTCGCTCTTGCATCCCAGACACTGAACTTGGCACGCTGACAGCTTTAACGCTAAATAAAAAGCAGGCCGGTGAATCAGCCTCTGTTGGTGCTACGTCCCTCCAGAACCGGCGTTAAAACCAGCGGCACTAAATCTGGAAAATCGCTGCTGCTCGCTGCTAAAGCGTCTGATGAGAGGAAAATGAAAAGCATGCGAGTGAGATGGGCTGCGAGGAGGTCAGGTGGACACCAGATCCAAATCACAAACACGGCGACGGGCGACGCATGCAGATGAGACCCCACAAAAGGCACTGATGGTGGCGAATAAGACGTAATCAGAGACATACTGTGGCTGAAAGGGGAGCTGGGCGGCTGGTGTAGGTGTACCTACAGCAAAGAGAAGTCTCCTTTTCTTATTCATAGCAATGCAAGGCGGGAGTTTCATTGTGCTGCTCGCTGAAACTTGAAATGATTTGGAATACGTTGGCCTAAAGTTTGTGTAATTGAGTTAAAAATTGAGCAGCACAGCGGCCTGAGCGTTCAGATACACCCACAGCAGATGTTGGAGCGTGAATGACTCGGCGACTGAAGGAAACGGAGGCTGTACTCACAGGTATGCGGCCTTGCCCTCCTCGATCTCTTTGCCCTTGCCGCTGGTGGCCGTCTTCTTGCTGCACAGCGAGCGCGTGATGCACATCAGCAGGCCGCAGTGACGCAGGAAGAAGCAGCTGACGTCCACCAGCACCAGCAGCAGCAGCAGCGCTCCCAGGCCCAGGCCCACCACCGCCCCCAGCCCCAGGCCGCTGAACAGGGATTCTGCTAAGGCAGTGAAGCGCGCACGCACACACACACACACACACACACACACACGCACACACACAGACACACACACACACACACACACAGAGACAAGGACAAAACACTGTTAGCAATTTGGGGTTGGTTCGACTCTTGAGGTGCAGACAGAAGGAAGGACGGCGGAAACTCTCCAAGAGCACCCAAAAAGAACTTTCCGAACCCCCCTCCAAGGTCGGCGATTTCCTCCGGAGCCAGTTGGAAACTCTCCAGCGCGGGAGATAAGTCCTAATCCACATCACCTCGCCTCCGTCCTCAGAGGAGGATCTCGACTATTAGCTCCTCCAAAACAAACCGTTTCTCTGCATAAAGTCGACGGGAAAGAGATGCAGCAATATGAGGCGGTTTGTAGCTTCTTATCCGTTTAACAACCTAAAAATACAAACTAAACACAACAGCCGGCGTTTCTTAGGCGGCAACAAAACACTTTCTGCTGTTTTCGCCCTCAGGCTTCTCGTGTACCTTCTGTACCGTGAGCTTTACCGTCTACCGATGCCTCCCTGTCCGCCTCTTATTCGTGTAGCTCGCAGCGCTAAAGCGGAGCCACGCAAATTAAGAATTTTCCAGGTAGAAGTTCTCCGGAACCCGTCGAGCTCTGGGCTCGGTCGGGGGAACAAGCGGCGGGGCCTGCTTTCAATTGCAAGTAATGAGAAAATGAAGGCGGCGCGGGTACAGAGAGGCTCCCGGCGGGCTCGGCTGAATGGAGTCGCGCCCTGAAGTGATCCTGCGGGTTGAGCAAACTGAACATCCACCGCGAGATCGGTGCTGACAGCTGGAGGTCAGACCTTGCCACGAATAATCAGCGGCAGAAGAGTGAGGGTGAATGAACTTTTCTACTTAGGGATGCCTCATATGCGTGTTCAGTAGTCTGTGAGTTAAAACGAAAAAAAAAAAAAGGAGATCCGACATTAATATGAAGGTGTGAGCACTCAGAGTGCCGGAGTCTGGCACCTCGGAGTTTTTAGAAGGAAATGGAGTGAGTGCATCTTTTTCTGCTTTCTCTGGACTCTCTGCCTCCTGCTGAAAACATAAATGTGACCTGAATGCAGCGGCGCCTTTAGGAGGATTTCCACGTGTATGAGAGAGAGCGGACCTGTCAGCAAACGAGTAGGTGGATCGCTATCTCACCGTCCAACTGAACCCTCGCTAAGCTGTGAGAAACGGCGTACTGTTCTACAGCACAAAGCCTCAGGGCAATCCGTGTGACCCGGTTCAAGGTCCAAACGTCACCTCCACAACAGGTTCTTATTATTAGAATGAAAAAGGTAAGAATTGGTTGCAGGAAAGGCCGAAGAATGAACGCAGCTCAATCCTGCCTTTCATTTCACCTCCAGTTTACTAATAAAACATCTCCACAAAGTCTGAAATACAACGTCTGGGCTCAACAGAACAGCTCAGCGCAACAGTTTGCATCAAACGCTTTGAGTTGTGACAACTTCTAATGAAATCAAGTTCAACCAACAAGCTATATTAAGTTAAGAGAATTCACTTTTCCTCTTAAAATCAAAATGATTTTTAATTAATAGTGTCAAGGCTGGTTAAGACAGAGGCAGGGACGTCATTCAGCCAACTTGGTTTAATTATCTCAACTTAAATGTAGCTTTAAATCAATGAGCAGACATTTGAGTTGAAATTACACCTGATATTAAGTTGAGGCAACTACAAGCACTGTTAGGTCAGTAAAACTCACTGAAATAACGTCTGAGCTCAATGAAATGGCAAACGTTTTGAGTTGTGACAACTTCTAATGAAATGAAGTTCAACCAACAAGCTACATTAAGTGAAGAGAATTCGTTTTTCTTCTAAAAAGCTACATTTTTTTGTTTATTTTTCTCAAATAAGCACCTAAAGTTGTACAGGTATGTTCAGATAGAGGCAGAGAGTAGAAATCTAGAATACAAGGTGAAGAAAAGTAAAGTTTGTAAGTCAGTTTGACTTAGCTATCTCAAATTTAGAGTTAAATAAATGAACATGGAAATTTAAGTTGAAATTACACACATTATTAAGTTGAGGCAACTACCAGCTAACGTTATGTCAATAGAACTCATTAAAATAATGTTTGGGCTCAACAAAACGATTCAGTGCAACAGTTTTTAATCAAACTTTCTGAGTTATGTCAACTTCAAATGAAACCAAGTTCAACCAACAAACTATATTAAGTTCAGAGAATTAGCTTTTACTTCTAAAGTGTAGAATGTCTTTTCTCTTTTTTAAAAAATTTAGCACGTAAAGTTGTCCAGGTATGTTCAGATAGAGGCAGAGAATTGAAATCCAGAACTCATGGTTGAGGATAATGAAGTTTGTAAGCTAATTTCATTTATCTATCTCAACTTAAATCTAGTTGTACATCATTGAAGGCAGAAATTTGAGTTGAAATTACACATTATATTAAGTTGAGGCAACTACCAACGAATGTTATGTCAATAAAACACATTAAAATGATGTTTGGGCTCAACAAAGCAGCTCAGTGCAACAGTTTGCATCAGGCTTTTGTTCTGTCAACAAAACTCATCAACATGATGTTTGCAACTCCAAAAGTTTCTCTAAATCTGCAAATGAGATTTCCCTTCTCGCCTTGCAGGCACACATTTAATGAAGTGAATTTACTTTCAGAGAGCAGGAGACATGTAATGAGCGTCTTCATGGGCCGACTGTCATGTGTAACATCAACACGGAGCCCCAGAGGCTCCAGTTTAGACGCTCTGATCCTGAAACAGCGATGACGAGGCTTCGGTGTGTGTTTTTGTAGGTGCAGGAGTCTTAACGCCTCCTTCCTGGCGCCGCGACAGAGGACAGCGACGAGCGCCGGCTTTAAACAGCCTCCAATTAGAGGCGACAGCCGACACTTAGACCTGGCTGGCGGCGGCTGTTTAGTTTCACATCCAGAGTGCTGGAGCCAAAAAGAAACACAAAAGAAAGACGAGCGAATTCCCAAACACTCCTGCACCACAGTGGAAGTCGTCACAGTGTGTCACAACCCAAACGCCTCTCCACTTTGTTCTCGACTTAGCGCTGAGACTCGCAGGCTGGCAGCGAGTCAGGAGGAAGGAGCTCATGGCAAAACCCCCCCCCAAAAAACACTCTAATTAAATCGCTTTCCCGCGAAACCGGGGGGACGTGCAGATTTGAAAACCGGGATCAATATTTTCCTCTGTGTTTTGTATCTCACCTCTTTTTGGAAAGTCTACCCGAGCTAATTTGGATTCATCTAAACAATGCCGACGAACCAGCCACACCTCGTCATGCTTTTTAGAAAACGAGCAACGACGCCGCTTTCGATGCACCAAAAATCAAAAACTATCCGACGCGTTCTTTGTTTGACGGACTGCCCAAAGTGTCGGGATAAAGATTTCATTAAAGTGTCACTTTTCGGGACGCCAGCGACAAACTCTTGAGCCTGAAAGAGTGAAATCCATAAACATCAGGCTTTCATCCGATAAGCAGTGTTACTCTAAAGTGCTTAGCAGCGGCTTGACAGTTTGAGGTTGGATTGATATGTTACACACTTGTTTACTCGCAGCCATTTTGCCGGCATTTTATTAGATTTATTCCCAGGTTTTGAAAAGGGCTTCAGATAAAAAAGAAGAGGAGGAGAGTCTGAAGTACACTGGATGAACAGAGTGCTTTGCTGGCACAAAGGAAGACTTTCAGCGATGACGTTTCAGCTGTTGTTGTTGTTGTTGTTGTTGTTGTTGGCGGTAATGAAAAGTCGAGGTACGGTGGCCTAGAGGTGCCAGATGCTACGAAGAGGAACATGCGACTGTTTCAGTGTTGTTTCTGCAGAAATATATGTTTGTTTTGGGGTTTTTTTCTGTGAAATGCTGCTTTTCCCCTAAAAAACTGCATTTTCTCACTTCTTGAACCTTAAATTTACAGTTTCCTTTATCTGTCTTTAAGTCGTTAAACTCGAAGCTGCTTTTGGACATTTTTTTCCTCCTTTTTTCCTCACTGTGGGCGATTTTTAAAATTTTTTTTAACCACAATATAAAGTCCTGCATATGTATGGAAACAGCACAATCATGACTAGAAGAGAGCTCAAAAATAGATGTTTGTGCTGTATGCTTAAGTCATAACTAGTTTTAAAAAAAAAGAAAAAAAAAAGAAGAAAAGTGCTCACCTGTGGTACCAAAACTAGAAAAAAAAAAATAAATAAAACTAAATAAAAATAAAATGAAAAAAATAAATACATTTAAATTTTAAAAAACCCCCAAAAAAACTGTGACAATATGCTCTAAAAAAAAAAATTGAATTACTATTTTATAGATTTTTCTTTTTTTTAGGGGGTTAAACTACAGATAATAACTTGTAAAACTGTAGGGAAAAAAGTATTAATTTACATTTTAACCCTAAAAAAACCCAAAACAAAACAGGCCACAGGCGTAAAAGACGTCCACCTCAAAGGAAATAAATCTTGAGTTTACTATGTATGGCCATAAAATTACATTTTTACTGGATTTAATCGGCTAAAAGCACAATTATTTTACAGTTTTTACACGTCACAGCGTTACATCTTCTGAAACATCTTTTCTTCCATTTATTCAAATATTTTACTTTCAAAATATTTCTTTTGTTTCCGTACTTTCTATCCACACTGTATAAAAACAGCCTGTAGGTCATGCCAGTTATTTATTTATTTTTAATCTCTTCAGAACATTTTTGTCAAACTTCTAAACGAGCTTTGCAAACTCATGCGATTTTGATGAAAGGTCCCAATTTTAAAGCTCAGATTGTTGAAACATTCCCGATCAAACAGCACGTCGCCGACGAGCAGTTCAAGGACTGCTGGAAAGAATTTTATTTAATTTGTGTTAAAGAAAAAAAGGGAATAAAGAGCGATTGTGTCTCTCTCACGGCAGCGCTGACGTCTTACGACCATCACGCAGCAGTCGTCAAGGATTCAGCAGCCGCTCTCTGATAATCGATTTCTGTGCAGAGAATTCTTTACAATCAGACAAAAGCAGGCA